CAGGGACAATGCCCATTCCAACACCTGGCCCCTCGCTATTTCCAGCCATTCCAGTCTCCTTAGGCAACACCCATTGGGTATCTCCAGTGTCCAAGCAGTAAAGATATTCTCTCCCATCCTCGTGAAAATGGCGTTCCCATGTCTTCCCATCGCAGTCGATGATTGGAAGGTCAGCAGCCTGAGACGCTTTGCCTCCACCACCAGCGTATAAGTCTTCGTCTGACTCTTGCTGTATTCTTGCTGCCTCCAATTCCAGGATTTCTCCTTCGCTCATCACCATAGCAACAGGAACGACTCCTTCTGTGTCCCCAACGACGAGGATACTGCCTTTTGTCGCAGCAACAGGCGCAGTTTCTTCCGCTTCACCTGTCAACAGATCACCACTTTCAGCTGCGAAACTCACTTTGTTGCGAGCTCGCTTGGAAACAGGGATAACATCCCCAACCAGTTCTGTCTGGCACCCTTGCTCCACCATCTTTGACGTAGAGGAGCTTGTTGTTGGCGCTCCCGTTGATTCAGCAGATTCCGCAGCTCGAAGAAGATGCCCATGTTTGCTCAGAAGGCGCAGCAAAACTGCTTCCATCTGGTCTTCCAGTCCTTCCACCACCGGCTTCTCTTCGCCACGCATACCACCAACATCAACCAGAGCTTCCTCATTTGGAACAACTTTTTCACCCGTTGCAGACCTTTTGACACCACTTTCACCTCGGTCGCCCACATTGGAGCTCGATGATGTCGCACCAGTCCGTAACCAGTTGGTTGCCATGGCTTCAAACTTCCACCCTAAAGCCGAAACACAGACCGCAGGGAACCTAATTTGGGCTCATAACCTACGGGGGGAACCGAAGGGGGACGAGAAACCGAACAGTCAACCCCAACAGAAGCCCTTGATTTCCCTGGATCAACCACACAACAAACCCAAACCACAGGGCACTCACCTTTTACTACCAGGCACATGGCCCAGTCTTGAGCCATAAAAGATTTCCGGGTACATTGACCCTTCCAACACCCAACACTAACTCTTTTTACAATACCAGTTGCAGCTCCGCATAGGGTTTAGGGTTTAGGGTTTAGGGTTTAGGGTTTAGGGTTTAGGGTTTAGGGTTTAGGGTTTAGGGTTTAGGGTTTAGGGTTTAGTGATGGGAGATTTGAAAGGACAGCTGCCAAGCAGGGCCTGGGAAGCGAAGAATAGTACGGGAAGGCACCTGGCTGCTGTACCAGAACGTACAGAACGTATTGAGTCACGATCATTGCGACTGTGATGACGTTTTTTTTTTTTTTTTTTGTCGGGTTTAGGGTTTATTGCATTTAGGGTCTTTTAACGTTAAACAACCCTAAATATGACGTTTTTTGTCGGGTTTAGGGTTTTTTGCGGGCTTACAGGGGATGCTGAGGGCATGCAGGGTTCACTCCATCAAAAGGCAAGTACTCGGAAACCACGCGGGATCTGCAACTTGGAGCAAGGGCAATGCTTGATACCGCCCTCAACCCTAAACCCTCAACCCTAAACCCTCAACCCTAAACCCTAAACCCGAAACCCTAAACCCTAAGTGATTGGACTGCAAGTCCAGGAGTTGGTGGCCGACAGGGAGGTCATCCTTGCTGCTGTGCAGCAGGATGGCGATCTCCTGCACCGAGCCTCCGAGGACGCGCAGGGAACACGCATGAAGCTCATTGCCCGGCTTCAGAGGTTTTAGGGTTTAGGGTTTAGGGTTTAGGGTTTAGGAGTTAGTAGTATATAAGATGAACCGAGCAAGAGTCCTGCTCACGAATGGCTTTGTGAAAGCAGCCGGGCAACGCCAGTTCGATGAGCGACCCTTTCAAACCCCATCGGCCAAAAGCCCTTAAAGTCCCTTCAGCCCCAAGCCCGGAAAAGAGCACCGACAGCCACGGTGCCGGGCTCCAGCCTTACATGTAGGGCTTAAGGGTTCAGGGAGTTTGCACAAGCCAGTACTCGATGGAGGTTCGACTCTGCCCTGAACCCTCTCTAAAACATGCAGCTCGAAGACCCTTTCTTCCCAGCTCTCAAGACAAGCAGCTCCTCGGCCGGCGCCCCGAAGCTACTAGGCATTTGGCTGTTTCAACTAGTGGTTAGGCTTTTGAAGGTTCAGGGATGAGGGTCTGAAAACTTTTGGTTGCGGAGTTTCGGGCGTTCAGGGTGTTTGGGAGTGACAGCTGCCAGCTGCCAAGTAGGGCCGTTGAAGCTCAGACTTGACATGCGCGTATTCTTTTAGTCTGGACCACTGATCTGAGACAGAAGCAGCTTCGCGCCCAATCTCCATGCCATTCTCCATTATTGGACTTTTCCCCCCTACAATGAACAGCTCCAACCTGAAGCCGACATCTGAAATCCTACACCCCTCGTGGTTTGCAAAGAGTCATGCTCGAAGGCTACACGCCATTTTACAAGGGGTTTAGTACCGACGGTCATGCAGGAGTCCGTCCATCACAACTGGGTACTTGAGAACGAAACGCACTCGGGATCTTCAACTGGAGCATGCGCAAACCCTAAACCCTCAACCTTTTCTGTGGGGTGGGAAAAAAACCCTAAACCCTAAACCGACTGCTCGTCCAGGAGCTCCGAAGAGACAGGACTGTGGTCCTGGCGGCGGTGCAGCAGGACGGACGTGCCTTGCAGTATGCCGCCGAGGCGCGGCGCGGGGAGCGAGGTCGGGTTCGGGTTTAGGGTTTAGGGATGTTTAGGGTTTTAGGGCTTTAGGGTTTTAGGTTTTTTGGGTTTTAGGGTTTTAATTTCTTAGAGTTTTAGGGTTTCGGGGTTTAGGGTGTAGCAGAGTAGCTGGAGGCCAGAGACTCTGTGCATTGTAGCAGCAAGAGTGGGGAGAACGATCACACTGAGCTGGAAGAAGTTTTCCCAGAAAAGCAAAGTCAAGAACGGCAGCTGTGCCAAGCAAGCTTTTGCCCTTTCCCCAACTCAAAATGCTTGCGCTTTAAACGCAGCACCCATGTTCACACATTTTGAATTCCCTAAACCCTAAACCCTGAACCCTAAACCTCCTAAGTCCAGAGCCCAATGTGAAAACAAAGCCAGAACCAGGCTTGCAGCGGCTTGCGACCTAAAGTTAAGAACTTATGAGGAGTAGGCCCTTTTTTCCTTTTTTTAGGGTTGGGGTTCCCTTCTTGTCAAAAAGGGTACCCGTTTTATTCCTAGGTTACTCCCGGGTCTAGGAGTCGCTGTCATTGATGATGTGGGTTGAGGCCGTGAAATGGGTTTAGGGTGCGCAGAATCAAGAGTAGTTGCGGTGCACAGGGTTTCCGGTAGCGAGGGTCTTGAGAAGAGACAGTGCATGAGAGATAGGTACCAGAAACGTGCTCGGGATCTTCAACTGGAGCATGGGTAACACTTGAGAACGACTGCGATGACGCGACTGCTCGAGCAGGAGCTCAGAAAGGACAGGGCTGTGGTCCTCGCGGCGGTGCAGCAGAACGGTTTCTCCCTGCAGTTTGCCGCCGAGGCGGGGCGCAGGGAGCCGGGTCAGGCGAACTGAGGGTTTATGTAGGTTTAAGTACAAGGAGGGGCCCGTACTTATAAGTAGAGTTATAAGGGCCCTAAAACTGAGTAATAAGGATCCTAACTTAGGTTATAAGTCTTTAACTATAGTTAGTGTAGTAAGGGGGCCCCTCCTTCAAGGCTTATAAGGGTTCCGGGCAGGTTTCGGTATCAGAAAAAGCCGGAAAGGCGGCTAATAACAGCAACTGCAAGAGATGAGTGGCCCAGGGACATGTACACCAGAGACAAAAAAACGAAAAGGGAGGAGACCTGAACTATTGAATTCGAAGGTCTGCGTGTAGGTGTAGGTTTAAGGGATCGTTGGAATTGAAGTGTAGGAGGGTCTAGGAATGACGGCTGCCAAGTTTTCAAGGTCATATTTGATAGAGGGGCGCGCTTGTCGGGTCCGAGCCAGAAAACATCCAAGTCGCGAAGATTCTTCCATGCTGTTTTCCAGCCGATCCTCTGTTCCCCAAATGACTCCTACCTGAACCCTAGTCCCTGAGGCCCAAAATCCGAAATCCTGCGCTCATCGCCGTTCTAAGCGTATATCTCGTATACTCAGCACATGAGTCGCGGTGATTGATGATGCCTTTATCTATTGCAGGGTTTGCGTTGCAAGGGGTTAGGGTCCCGACGGTCATGCAGGAGTCAGTCCATCAGACGCACTGATCTACAACTGGAGCATGCGCAACATTTGAGAATGGGGGTTTAGGGTTCAGGGTTTAGGGTTTAGGGTTTAGGGTTTAGGGTTTAGGGTTTAGGGTTTAGGGTTTAGCGATTGCTCGTCCAGGAGCTCCGAAAAGACAGGGCTGTGGTCCTGGCAGCGGTGCAGCAGAACGGTGGTGCCTTGAAGTATGCCGCAGAGGAGCGGCTCAGGGGCTCTGTGTATTGTAGTAGCAGTACAAGGAGGGGCCCCCCCATAGTTATAAGTAGAGTTATAAGGACCCTAAACTGGGTTATAAGGATCCTTACTTAGGTTAGAAGTCCCTTAACTATAGTTAGTATAGGAAGGGGGACCCTCCTTGTAGTGGAGGAATGATCGCACTGAGCACGCATAAGTTTCCCAAGAGCAAGAAGAAAGTCAAGAGCGGCAGCTCTGCCAAACAAGCTATTGCCTTTTCCCCTGAAGCAAGTTTAAATGATTCAAAACGCTTGCACCTTAAACCCAGCACCTATTTTCACCCACTTTCACTTCCACAGCCCGACAACACGTGAACCTCCAAAGTCCAGAGCCCAATGTGAAGAACGAGAATCGGCCTGGGGCCCCAGGCTTGCAGCGGCTTGCGCCCTCAGCTTATGAGCTATGGGGTTTTAGTCGGTCAAAGGGCTTCCGGGACTCAGGGCGTACGGTTTCTGGTATCAAAGAGCCGGAAATAAGGTTAACATCAACTGCAAGAGATGGGTAGCCCACGGACATGTACATCGGAGAGAAAAAGAAAGAACTTGTCTGGTCCGAGCCAGGAAACATCTAAGTCGCGATAATTCTTCCATGCTGTTTTCCAGTCGATCCGCTGTTCCCCAAATCACTCCTACCTTAATTCTAGATGGCACGTCAGAAGCATATGAGGCGCGGTCATTGATGATGCCTTTATCTATTTCAGGGTTTGCGTTGCAAGGGGTTGGTCCCGACGGTCATGCAGGAGCCACAGTCCATCAGAAGCAGGCACTAGACACGCACGGATCTACAACTGGAGTTTTGAGAATTAATATCACGACGCGACTGCTCGTCCAGGAGCTCCGAAGAGACAGGGCTGTGGTCCTGGCAGCGGTGCAGCAGAACGGAAGTGCCTTGTGCTACGCCACCGAGGAGCGCAGGGAGCCGGGTCGGGCGAACTGAGGACTACGCTCATCGGCAGCTAAAATCCGAAATCTTGCATTCATCGCCTGGTTCTATAAGTATATATAATATGTATGTATATATGTATATATAAATTTATATAAAGTGTATATTAAATGGGACTTTTCAAGACCAGGCCTGGCTGGCACATCAGAAGCAAATGAGTCGCAGTCATTGCGCCCATGATGATGCCCTTACTATGTCAGGGTGTTGCATGTGATGTGGACTGCGTTACCAGGATGCTTACACCTTGAACCCTTCGACCCCTAAACCCCACAGGCTGGACACCCTTAAACTCCGTGAAGGCCCTCAAGCCCTAGGTCTGGAACACATTGTGCAAAAGACTATCGGCAGTCACGGTTCTGGAGCATTTGTGCCGAGCAAGCAGCGTCCTCCCCCTCTGTGGTTCATGTTTTGGGTTCAGCGTTTCCCGCCTCGGAAGCGAGAACGCGGAGCGCGGGCGCATATAGAACTATAGTTAGAGGAGTCAGGGATGTGGGATTTACGGTTTAGGCTTTGCGGTTGTGTACGTTGTGTCACATAGCCGGAAGAAGGTTCATGACACAAGTTGACGGTGATGATGAGCACTCCTTTCCAGGAGCACCGGAATGACAAGCAGTTCTTGCTGCAGGCGCTGCGGGCGACAAACAGCGGAGGAACGTCACCGCAAAACATGAATGTACCTTACCTCTTTTTTTCGGAGGCGGTGCGTGCCACGAACGCCTACTGGCTCTTCCATTTCGCGGCCGACGAGCTGCGGACGGACCACGTCCAGGGCCAGTGCCGCGCTGCTTGTGGCACCGGACTCGTGTTCACGTACTACGACACACTCCTTGCCGACATCTGCCACAGCTTCCCATTCGCGGGCGCCTCTGTGCCCGGAGGCCGGGGCCGAGATGACCAGGTCGTAGAAGAGAAACGAGGGAGGCCCTTGGGACTTTGTATACTTTACCTTATTGGGTTTAAGAGTAATTAGAGAAATGACGTCATGTGGCCTTAAGGGATATGCAGTTCTCAGGATTCTTTCTGTCGCGTTTGCGTGGCTTCGTGGCTTGGTGATTTCCTGACTGTTGCCTTCGGTTCGGGCTGGCTCCGTGCTAGTTTCGGGAGTACTGCCCTTTGTCATAATCTGCTAGACCCAACAACTCATTGATCAGGTCCACCTGTTTCCAAGCTTCTGCTTGTGTTTTGTTTGGCAACGGTTTTTCGAAAGCAGCTTGGGGGGAGGGGGGAACGGAAAACAGCCCCATTCCCCCCAAAATAGTTGCGGCTGGGCACGTGGGGCTCCTGCGTCCAAGCCGTGCACTTTGGTCCCGCGCAATCACGCTGAAATATCTCCTGGCACGTCGCGTCACTGCTGGTTTTAGTTTTACTGTTGGTTAGCAGGGAATGAGGGAATTAGGGCCCTACAGTACCCTTTAAGGGATGATATAGGGTACCCCATCCCCCCAGTCCTTACTACCCAACAGGAAGTAGTGAGCGGGTTCCTGGCTCCTCTGCTGACCAGGCGAGGCCTACGACCATGTGATGAAGGAGCTGGACAATCCTGACAGGAAGGGCAGCTCCTTGGCGGGCAGCTTTGAGTTGGAGGGGGAGCCTCTCTCGGGTCTCTAAACACCCTGAAGTCCCTACTGCAGCGGCCCTGGCAAGATTCCCGCAGCCTCGCTTCCCCCGCAAGCTTGGAGCTCGTGTTTGCTCTGTGCAAGTTGATATTGGGTTTTGTCTCTGCTGCTCTGCCACGGGGCCTCGTGGTATCTAGGCTGGGAGTATCTATGAAGCTGAGCCTGCTAAACTCACTTCCCCAGCAAGCACAGCTTCAGATCAACGGCTGGCAAACTCCCAGGCACTGCCACCGTGTGGTTCGGGGACGAGCCAGTCTGGGGCCATGAGGCTGCCAACGGCGAGTGGAAACATCCAAGCGAGGAGGGGGTGCCCAGCAAACAGCTAGTTAGACTTGGATGGAGAAATGATTTGAGCTGTTATGCCGTTCTTCTTTATGGTGTTTTTTATGGTGTTGTTTGTTGTGTTGGCAACGCCTAGGGTGTTTGGCGTATATGGCTGCAGGGCTTCTCGATTCTTCTTGGGCTTAGGGCGTTTTCGGGGCCTCCTGGTCTTTAGGGTTAGGGTTTGAGCGTAGGAGCTGCGGGGTTCCAGGGTTGGGCTTAATGGTTTGGGGTAGAGGGTTTGGGGAAAAGGTTAGGCCTCAAAGTCCTTCAGGTGCGGGGAAAGGGTGTGATTAGCAACGGCAAGCGGCAGCAAAGAAAAGATAGCAAAGAGCAGATGCAAAAACGAAAATTTTCATTTGCAATATTCTCAATATTTGTATCTTCATTTTCATTTTCATTTTCAATTTCATTTTCAATTTCATTTTCATTTTCCTTTTCATTTTAATTCATGTTCACCCACATTCATTCATTTACTCATCTTTGAAGGGTTGCCCACAGGTTTTGGGGGTTTTCAGACTGCGCCCAGAGCACCCAGACTGAGCTTTTCGTACACAGGAGGGGGACAACCGCACTCTCGTATGCCTGTCTGCCAAGTCTGTGCTTTGATCAGAAGCAAGCAGGCCTTCCTCCCCAAACCCTAAACCCTAAACCCTAAACCCTCAACCCTCAACCCTAAGCCCTAAACCCTAAACCCTAAACCCTTTGCAACTGCGCGTGGTTGTTGCGGCATTGGCCGTTCCTCGTTGTTTGTCGTTTCGTTGTTGTTGGGGTAGACACTTTAAGCCTTGAGGCCGGAGGTGTCGTCCTTCCATTCCACCAGGCATGTGCTTCCGGTGTGTACGCGCTCACTGATTTGTTTTCGTCCGTTTGCGCATTCGTCATTCGTTCATTCACCATTCGTTCATGCATTCGTTCATGCATTCATTCATGCATTTACACATTCGGACACTCATACAACAGCAGCAGGAGCAGCAGCAACTACGAAGCAGTTGCGGTAGCATCGGCAACAGCAGCAGGAAGGAACCATAGCAGCGGCAACAACAGCACTCCTCCCCCAATGAAGCATAATTGAAAACAATGCATAGGATCCCATATGGCTACAAATCCCCAAGCTTCGATGTGTTGATCCTTCAATCCTTCACTCAGCCAGGAGTGCGGCCGGGACCAGATGCCGGTCCCGCCGGTCGAGGGTCGGGACGAGAAATGGCTCGCGCGCCTGGAGGGTCGCAAGGATTCGGTGGTCAGCGCCTGAGAGCCCTCGTGCTTTAAACTGTGCAGAAGCAAGTTCGAGGGGAGGTCATCTGTGTACTGGGCGAGAGGCAGAGATTTTGGGGCAGTGCTTCCCCAGGAGCCCCAGGTCGGCAGCAAGTACAATTGCTCCTTGGAAGACTTGGGATGAAAGCCGCTGTCAGCATGTCTGCATCATCTTAAGGCATCTGCTGCATCCTTCGAAGCATTCCGCGAGTTGCAGCCTCGTCTGAAGGCTGGTGCTGCCATTGGCTCCGGAAGGTGAAGGAGCACTATGACGCCGGGGAGGTCATTTGCGTGGCCGTCTCCAACATCTATGGTGCAGACGCTTGGGTTTCCCTAAACCCTAAACCCTAAACCCGAAAACCCTAAACCCTAAACCCCAAACCCCAAACCCTAAACCCTAAACCCAAAACCCTGTTGAATGACCCTTCCAAGGACTGGGTGAAAGAGTTCGGCGCCGGCTCGTCGGAGCTCAGCGACGAGGCTGCTGAGCTTCATGGCCTGCAGAAGAGCCTTGGGCTGGCAGAGGGTTTAGGGTTTAGGGTTTAGGGTACTAGGGTTGAGGGCATGCAGAAGAGCCTTTGACTGGCAGAGTTCCAGAGGCTGCGGGTTTTGGGGTAGTAGGGTATAGGGTCTAGGGTATTAGGGTATTAGGGTTTAGGGTTTAGGTTTGGGTTTAGGGTATTAGGGTATTAGGGTATTAGGGTATTAGGGTATTAGGGTATTAGGGTTCTGGGTTTTGGGTTTTGGGTTTTGGGTTTTGGGTTTTGGGCATTCGGGTATTGCGTTTAGGGTATTAGGGTATGAAAGGGTCTCGGGTTTTCTTCTCTTTGTCGGCTTCGGGCGTTGTAGGACTGTAGGAGGTACAGAGCCAACGAGAGCAGGAGGCTTGCGTGCGTCTTGACTCGTCTTGACTGTGGGACCGCATGATCAGTTGGCTACCGACCGTGACGGCCCCAAAAGCCCTTAGAAGCGTCCGAGACCGTGACGGCCCAAAACCTAGAAGCGGACGAGACCGTGACCGCCCAAAAGCCAGCCCTTAGAAGCGGAGGAGACCGTCACGGCCCCGTGACAGCTCAAGACCGTGACGGCCCAAAACCCCTAGAAGCGGACGAGACCGTGACGGCCCAAAACCCCTAGAAGTGGACGAGACCGTGACGGCCCCGTGACGGCCCAAAACGCCTAGAAGCGGACGAGACGGTGACGGCCCAAAAGCCCTTAAGAAGCGGACGAGACCGTGACGGCCCAAAAGCCCTTAGAAGCGGACGAGACCGTGACGGCCCCGTGACAGCCGAAAACCCCTGGAAGCGGACGAGACCGTAACGGCCCAAAAGCCCTTAGAAGCGTCCGAGACCGTGACGGCCCAAAACCTAGAAGCGGACGAGACCGTGACCGCCCAAAAGCCAGCCCTTAGAAGCGGAGGAGATCGTCACGGCCCCGTGACAGCTCAAAGCCCCTAATAGAAGCGGACGAGACCGTGACAGCCCAAATCTCCTGGAAGCGGACGAGACCGTGACGGCCCAAAACCCCTAGAAGCGGACGAGACCGTGACGGCCCCAAACCCCGCTTCTACCACATCTATGACTCAGAGTAGGCTTTTTTGCCTTGATTTAGGGTTGAGGATGCCTGACAAGCCTCTTTAAATCAGAAAGGGCACCCTGTGTATTCCTAGGTTTATTTTGGGTCTAGTCTAGACATTGCACTGCGCTGCCCTGCAAGCCTGCGAGGGAACACTTCCGCAACGGGCGGCCCCAGAGTTGGGGCGAGGGCAAGATCCGCACCAGTGAGGGCAGGGAATTCGATCGCGCGGCGAAGGTCCACCCGCGAACGAATAAGCCGTTGGGCGCCGGCTGCCGCTGGGAGCGCTGGGCGTTGGACCAGCAGCCGTTCCCGGTCTATGCGTTTTTCAGACCCTGAGCCGCGCGAAGCGCAGGCCACCGGCCCCTGTCAATATCAATAAAACGATAGCGGATCAGAGCAAGAGCAAGAACAATAGTAATAGTATCAGTGACGATGTACTATGATTTCTGTGGTCAGTACCCACGACGCGTTGCCAGAGACGGAAAAGAGTTTTTGAAGAAGCGCAGGCCTGACAAATTCCGACAGTGAAGCGCCTGACAAGAGTATATCCGATCCACATGAGGCCCCGAGGCACGTCTCCCACTTGTTGGGGCCCCTTGTGCAAGAGCAATAGCCGTGTGTCTGAAGCAAAGTGGGCTGCTGCATTTCTGGTTTACAGCCTTGATGCCCTAGGCCCTAAACCCTAAACCCTTAAACCCCTAGGGTTGGACTTGACTTGCTTTGAATCGCTTTTTGGGGTTTCTGGTGAGTTTCTATCCTGGGGGCCACGCTTTGTAGAGTCCGAGCTCGGAAGGGGGGCCCGGGAGTCCTGGAGCACAGCGTCCTTTGTGGAACCGCGGGAGGGGGTTTGGGGTTCAGGGGTTTTTGGAGAGGGTTTAGGGGTTTAGGGTCTTAGGGTTTAGGGATGATGGAGCTGCTGGTGTCTCAACCCCCTAAGCGGGGCAAAAGCCTTTGCTCTGAGTGGCGCGGTTTTTGCAAATTACGGGCATGGGTTGTTTGGTCTTGGCTCGGTGAATCTCATCCTGCTAAAGTGAGCATCTTGCGAGACATCGGCTTGTGTTGAGATGCAAGGGTTGAGCCCTGAGGTTACGAAGCAGGTTGTGCAGCTTCAGGGGATGGGTGAGCGGCTCGTTGTGAAGACTTTCCGGCCAGCCGGTGTCAATCAGTCCTCCGCAAGACGTGTGTTGGAATTCAAGTTGCTGGTGTCAAAGAAGACAAGGGTGCGCCGCAACCGTATGTCCCACTTTCTGAGTTTCGGATCAAACAAATAGCTCCTCCATCTTTCCCCCCCCCAGAACTGCAAGGCTTCTCACGATTCGCCCATCCATCCTTGACTTGGCGCGGGCCCTTTTCACATCCAGGACCTCCTACTCGAGAAGGCACCACCCGAGTTTTTGCCACTTTGGAGCTTCAACGCCCTCATGTTCTTACTTCATACTCTTATGCCATGGGTGCCGAAGTTCTCTGAGTGTATAGGCCTCATGGCATCCGCCCCCCTTCTTTCTTTGAATCACCTGCGGATTCTTCTCTTCGCCATGCCGCGTGATGCCGGTGTCCCAGCGCCGGCCTCGGGCAAAATACCAGCCGAAGAGGTTTGGTAGACCCTCATAACTCTTGTGATCCCGGAGGGGTTCTGGTAAACGAATTATTAGGTCACTGGAAGTATTGGGGGGGGGGGGGGGGTGGGGGAATGACAGAATTAGATACTTAAAGCTAATTTAAAGCTACTAGGCTATAAGGTATCTACTCCTTTCAATCCCTAGTAAGAACCAGTGGGTTGAAAGTTGATGAGGACTTGGGGTGCGGAATCAGCACTTCGAAGTTGCGAGTTTGAGATTGCCCGTGGCGGTTTGCAATTGAGCTTAGAGAGTCTAGAGTTTAATCAGGGTTTGCGGTTTGGGGTTCGGGGTCTCCTTACTGTTCTTCTTGAGGCTCTGAAGGTTCAAGAGTGTGTTGGGTTTCTTGGGCTTTGAGAGTCCCGGGTTTTGGGTCCGGACTTTATAAGGCTTTGGTTTTCCGGCATTGGGGGGGGTTCTCGGGTTCAGGGTTTGGGGCTTGGGCGGGCTTCCAGCCGTGCCTTGGGAGAAGGATGGAACTCTTCGGATTCTCAGAGATCTGTCTTGCCCAAGCTTCTGAGGCCCTCGACTTACAGCAGACCTTCCTCTGACCCTAAACCCTAAACCCTAAACCCTAAACCCTAAACCCTAAACCCTAAACCCTAAACCCTGGAAACCCTAAACCCTAAACCCGGGTTTCGGGTTTTTCGGATGGCGACTCGCAGCCTGCAACACCCAGGGGCGCATGCGCGAGACCTGTGCTGCTGAGCCATGGACTCAGAGACAAGCTGCTATGTAGGGTTTAGGGTTTAGGGTTTAGGGTTTAGGGTTTAGGGTTTAGGGTTTAGGGTTTAGGGTTTAGGGTTTAGGGCTAAAACGCAGCCCGATTCAGGATTCAGGACTTGCAGAGCTTTTCAAAGGCATGGGGTGTTCCCGAGAAACTTCCGTGAAAGCTGCCCCAGAATGATCAAGGAATCCCTAGAACTTCTCAGGAACTCCTCTGAACCATTCCTCATCTTTTCTCCATGCTGGTGCACCACCCAGGTACCTGTAGGAAACCTTTACCCCTAAACCCTCCCGGGCACAGCGGGATCTCCCCCTGTACCTCGGACTCGTGTTGCAGCAAGACGTGACCTCGCTTTAAGTGGATCTTGGGGTTTAGGGTTTAGGGTTTTAGGGTTTAGGGTTGCGCTGGGTGAGAGAGAGAGAGGGTTGCGCTGGAGTTTGTGCTGGGGGGCTCAACTTAAAACCCTGCAACCCTAACCCAAGCCCCCCTTCTTCGCCACCTTTCTTCCGTTGTTTCCGGCGTTGCCGGGCTCACTTGGAAGCGAAACTCGCAGCTTCGTTCTCGTTCAGGTGCGACTGCAAGCTAAAGACGGCGGAAGGCGGTAAGTTGCATGTGAATGCTACCCAACAATTGCAAGTGAATATCGCTAGCCAGCAGAGAGCTACACTCTGAATAGCTCGTTTGCTGGATGTTGATCAAGTGGGACCGCTTTGGGCTTCTGGTAATTTGGGGGTTTTGGGTTTGGGGGTTTGCGGGTGTAGGGTACAAGTCTTCCGTCTTCCAGGAGAGACGGCCCAGCGAGGTCGCATCCAGGCCCGCGAGGCGGACCACAAAAGGGACTCCTTCGAATGGGATGCTTCTTTGGAAATGTTAATGGGGGTGTTGGAGTTGGGCTCAGGGGGTTCAGGGTGTTTTGCTTCATTTTGTCTGCGGACCACCACGGGATCCCTGAAAAGTCCTGTGGAAAGTCCGACTATACTGAAACTTCCGTTGGTAGTTCGGCAATTCTTGTTCTATTAGCCTTAAACCCTAAACCCTACACCCCTAAACACTGTTGGGGGGCCGTGATAATGACACAGACCTCCGGTTGTCGGGAGGGTGGCGCTGCAGGAAGCCCGCGTTTCTTGAGCATTTAATAGCTACCTGCAGAGCTGCATGTTGTGATTTGTTGATTCGGATACGCCTTCGAGGCCGCGACATGCAGCGACTCTCATTGAAGCCCTCCTTCCACCCTCACTGCCCCCATCCCTCCCTTTCAAGAAACCCGAGGCTTGGGGACGACGCAGGGAACTGGGAATGGGTAGAAGATATTAGAAGATGGTACCAGGCTCTTTATGTTCTGTGAAGCTGTGTTGCTCCTGATAGTCCAGGGGTCGCCGGCAGCAAACCTCAGAGAACGCGAAGGCAGTTTAAAGCGAATGAGGGGCTCAAACGGTCAGTTGGCTTCCCAGGACCCCAGCAAACAGCACCCCAAAGCACCCCGCAACTTGGCCTTTGAGGGCCTCAACTTGGCCTTCCAGAGCAATCAGCGTAAGGAAACAGCACCCCATAGCACCCTTCAACTTGGCCTCCCACTTCCCCAGATCTCTCAGCATAAGGAAACAGCGCCCCTGCCCCCCGCCCCCCCATCATAAAGCCATTCGAAGCATGAGGCTGTTCCATAATGTTCCATGGTTCCACGGGCTCTTTGTTGGTGTCCTTCTGGCTCCAGATCCTTAGGCAAACCTCGCAACACATGGAGTTCCGCATTGGACTCATCTATGCGGTTCAAAAAAGCTGCCCTCATGGGTGGTGGAAGCTGGACACGAGAACTGGCAGCCTCTTCACAACGAGTGTTTGATTTTTAAGCAACGGTGAGCGCTTTTGTTGTCGGTGTTGTATACCAGTCTACTGCGCAGAAGTCGGGAACGCGGATCGCTTTGCAGATCCACATGCAATGACACACAAAATTCTATAGTTAAGCATGAGGGTTTCAGCTGCAATCCCTTCCCCCTCATATTAAAGGGTCCCCCGCTTTAGTATTAGGCGGAGTACTTATCCAAACAGCCCGTCCTTGTAGCTTGCTGGCTGAGTCGTAGAGCAGGTTTTTAGCTTTGGGCTAGTTACTCCCCCCTAAGTCCGTAGAGTTTTTACAAGGGGCGGTTTTTTTGGGGGGGCAAGGGAGATTGTTTTTTTCTTTATATTCGTACGGTCTTAATTAATATCGGCGGGGGAAGGGATTAGAGCCCTAAAGGGGCCGCCCTCGGGTGTGCAGGTCTGACTCTGACTCTGACTCTTGTTCTACCACAGCCACTTCCAGTCTGGTGCCGCCCCCGGCCAGATTATGGTTTAGGGTTTAGGGTTTAGGGTTTAGGGTTTAGGGTTTAGGGTTTAGGGTTTAGGGTTTAGGGTTTAGGGTTTAGGGTTTAGGGTTTAGGGTTTAGATTAAAAGAGAATAAGGCAGGGGAATGGGGAAGATGGGAGATGCAGATTCAGGGCTTGACGGCTTGACGCTGTCAGGAGCCTGTGGGTCGAAGAATTTGTTTGTTTCGAAATTGGGGTTTGGGGTTAGCGGTTTAGGGTTTTAGGGCTTAGGGTTTACAGGGTTTAGGCAGGGTGACTTTGAGGACGGAGATTTGGGCCTTCATGTTCATGGCAGAGGTTCTTGAGACCAGCAGAGGTGCAACACAAAAAAGCAACTTAATGCAAGTTGCTCGTACCGGGTTACAGATGAGAGGGATGCCAGGGGGCGTATGTCCGGCATCAGCCCGCAGAACTTCCGACCTCTAGCAGAACCTCAAAGAAGCCGTGGCAAGAACGGACATGGCTTTTGCTGTAATAGGCGTGGGTGATAGGAGCGAGCTGAGTTCGATCAGAGCCAGTGAATGCCCTTTATCACATGGCCAAGCGCAAACCGGTGAAAGCAGTTCTAGTGGCCAGCAGGTGATATGACCACCCCTCACCCCACCATATAACTTAAACCCTCAACCCTCTCCCCCTCCATCCCCCAAACTCGTCGCAGTGCTCGGCCCAAGTTTTAGCCGGGCAGATGCCTCAGCCGGGAACAAGCTGCCTGGAGGCTCCTACGACAAACTTTCAGGGGGTGGGCTTCTTTCCTTGGAGAGGGCGCCTTTATATCAAGTCGCGGAAGGCCTGGCAGCAGATAGCTCTTGCTTGTTTGTTTTGGGATTTAGGGACCGGGGTCCCCAGAAGCCTGAAGCGCAGCCCCGAAGATAAGAAGCCTCCTGATGGCACCCCGGTAGAGAGATGGGATCTGCGGCTTCTTGCGTAGGTCAGAAGAGTATCAGAGACTTCCCAAACGGTCCATGCACCTACATGGTAGATACTTGGGCGGTTCCTATATAGCAGCTTGAGGGCCCAAGTATATGCCATATAGGTAACATGAACCCTGAGGGCTTGAACTGCTTTCCATTGAAAGGGGGCGACTGCATCCTTTTTTCCAGAGCACCGTCAACTGCCAAAGGCAGATGGGACAGCCTCCTGGCCGCAAGAGGTCCAAGCTCTGTGCGGAGCTGGATTTGAGACTCAGGATAGACTTTGAGGAATGATTCAGGCCCTAGAAACTATACTATAAACCCTAAACCCTTACCCCTTAAACCCTGAACCCTAACGGCATGTCCGAGCGTGAGCGATTAAACCCTTAAACCCTTCCGCCCCAGCCGATCCAGGCAGTGCTCACGCTGTTGTCCAGATGCTGCTCCGCAGGACTGAAGACCATGGACGGCCCACGGCCCTGTTTACCCCACATAAAAATAGTACAACATACATATGTATATATATATATATAACTCTTCCTTATACAGGGTAAGAAAATAGGGAGGCTTGTTTCTGTTTGGCTCTTAAGCCCTGTTTGCAGTCGATGCTTCGTAATGTTCGATTGGGTTTAGGGTTTACGGTTTTCCGATTCGGGTTTACTGGCTGGTGCTTAGCATTTTTTGAGTTAAAACTGCAGAGGTGTTGGGTAAGAACTGGAGAGGCACTGGATAGGTGTTGGAGAGGTGGTTTGGGGGGCGGGTGGTAGGTCTTCCCCCTCCCACGCGAAAAAACACGGTGACAGGCATGGGTGACTTGCAAGGGTTCAGGATTCTTTTCACTTGCCAAGGGGGCTGCGCGAGCTGGCGTTGCAAAGACACCAATCTTTTCTGCAAACCCGCCCCCCAGCCGCCACAACGCAGACTACGCTAGTCAAGCTTGGGAAATCAGCCCGGAAGTCCCTGCGAGGCCTGAGAGGCTTCGCAAGTTCAGGCCTACCAGTTTATGAGTTGGGATTGAGGTTTAGGGACACAGGCACTGCATTCAATGTTCAGAACTGATGCTCCAGGTACACGTTATATGTGATTCTGCCGATGATCGCCGATGATGCTGGTGTTCATGTTGCTCGCTTGATGCTTTCGAAAACTTGCCCCTGTATGTAGATGGGGCACCAAGTAGTCTTTGTACATTTCCTGCCCGTGGTGGTGGAATAGGATTTCGGCAGGGAGGACTGATATACATTTTTCTGAGTTTCTTTCTGGAAGCAAGTTTGTTTTCTACGACCGGTAGAAGGAAACCCAATGCTTTGGATTCAGACAAAATCCGCAAACAACGAAATTCCGACAAAACCTTTCAACCAGGGACACCCAACCTTTCGGGCCGGAAAAGGGGGTTTGGGTCCAGACCAAAAGCCGACAAAAACCTCTTGAGAAAGCCGGAAAGCAGGAAAGACAACCCCCCTTTTCGGCCCGGAAAAGGAGGTTTGGGTTCAGAGCAAAAACCGACAAAAACCTTTTAAGAAGGCCTGAAAGCAGGAAACCCAACCCCCTCTTTTCGGCCCGGAAAAAGGGGTTTGCGTTCAGAGCAAAAACCGACAAAAAACTCTGCTTAGGGGCGTGGGAGCTCAGAGGTTGTAGTTTAGGGTTTGGGGTTTAGGGTCTAGGGTTTAAGAAGACCAGGTTTGGGTTCAGACCCAAAACCGACCAAAACCTCTTCAGAAGGGCAGAAAGCAGGAAAGACGTAAACCCAACCCCCCCTTTTCGGCCCGGAAAGGGGGGTTTGGGTTCATTCGAAAAACCGACAAAAACCTCTTTGAATCGCCACAAACCAGGCAACTCATTAACCCCCCCTTCTTGGCCCGGAAAATGGGGTTGAGCTCCGACAAAATCCACAGTCACCTGGGGTTTCGGAGTCGAGTGTGCGTGTCTTCAATAGCCTTGCAACGTCCCCTCCAGAAGGGGCGGGAAGGGGGGGGGGGGGGGGCTGTTGTAAGGCTATGGTGCCGGCGCCCTGGCCTTACAACAGAGCTCTCCCCCAAAGCAGCATGCGCAGGACATTTTTTTAGGCCGATGCCACTGGACACTTGTCACGCAGAAACATGACTCATGTCAAGAGCTGTAAACATGGCTCTTATTCAACTCCGAAACTGAAACCCTAGGCTTTTTGTGTGTTGTTGTCTGAGCCCAACCCCATTTGTCGGTTTTTGTGTCTGAACCCAAACCCCCCTTTCCGGGCCGAAAAGGGAGGGTTGGGTTTACGTCTTTCCTGCTTTCTGGCCTTCTGAAGATGTTTTTGTCGGTTGTGGACGAAAATTGTACTTTATCCACAGCGCGCGCTTGGACACGGATTTCTCGGGTCGATCCTCCATTCCCCCCACAAATTGCTCTTCCCTAAGAGCCACATCTGAAATCCTACAGAAGCCTACAGGGCCTAGACTCCCTGAAGCCTAGATCCCATCTCCTACGCCCATCGTTTCCAAAGAGTAATGCTTGAATGAGCCTTTCCAGGACCAGGCCGTATTATGGGTGAAGGACTGTTTAGAGTTTAGAGTGCGCGGAATCAAGAGAATGGTTTAGGGTAAAAAAGGTCATGCAGCAGCCAGTCCAGAAAATCAAAATACTAGAAAAGCACTAGGTATTTACAACTGGAGTACTGACGGCGGGGATGAGCAAGGAGGTGGTCCAAGCTACGAAGCAGCGCGGCGTCGCCCTGGAATTTGCTTCAGAGGAGCTGCCGCAGAAAACCACAGGTGTGAGCCAGAAGCAGCGTAGTCTCGACAAATCTCTACGCCATTCTGTATCGGATCATCAATTCCCCCCAAAAAAGCGGCCTTCAGCAGTCGACTTTACTCCGCCCAGAATGAATCCCTACCACAACATGCAGCTCCAAGACACCGAATTAATAGCCGTGTCAAGACGAGCAGTTGCCGCCACGATGCTGGGCACTTTGGAGGCCAGTGACAACTGCCAGCTGCCCAGTTGGGGCCCATGTCAAATCTGAAGCATTTTCTCGACAGTTTTCCATGCCATTCTCCATTCAAACCTCCATTTTCCTTCAACGAGCCGTAACGAGCCCCTATACCCGAAACCTAGACCCCCTGAAGCTGAAATCCGACGCCCATCATAGGTTCCGCAGAGTAAAATGCTTGAGTAGGCCTTGCAGGGACCGGGCTGCTGTACCGGAAGCATTGTGGCACGTGAGCCTTGCGACTGTGGTGATGCGCTACTTTTCCCGGCTAAGGGTGTATCACGGGCTTCAACTTGGAGCATAAGCAAGGCTTGAGAAAGACTGCGATGACGCGACTGCTCGTCCAGGAGCTCCGACAAGACACCGACCTCGTCCTGGCCGCCGTGCAAAAGGACGGTTTGGCCTTGGAGTATGCCCCCGAGGAGCGGCGCCGGGAGCCGGGTGAGGCAAGCTGAGCATTGAGGACTACTCTCATCGGTAGGTGCAGCACAGTGTATACGTAGCGGAGGCCAGAGGCTCCGGGTACCAGTAATGGAGGAATGATCACGCTGAGCATCAGTAAGTTTTCCAAGAGCCAAAACATGGTTTGCCAGGTTTAGCTCGCGTCAACATACTGCCCCCCTTACACTTAACGCCGGGCCAAAGAGCCAACATGATTGGGAGTGACAGCTGCCAGCCAAGTAGGGTCGGTGAAGATCACACTCGACGTCATGTGCCTATCCGTTTAGTCTGGGCCACAGCTCGGAGCCAGAAGCAGCTTAGTTTCGACAAATCTCCACACCATTCTCCATCGGAACCTCTTTTCCCATGCAACTCCTTGAATCAAATGCTGGAATAGGCTCTTTCCAAGCCCAGGTTGCCGTACCAGAAGCATTGCGGGCCGTGAGCCTTGCCACTATGGTGCTGAGATATTGTACGGTTAAGGGTGCATTACGGGCGAGGGGGTGTTTAGGGTTTAGGGTGCACAAAATAGGAGAGGACTTCCAACGGGAGTACTGACCGCTGCGATGAGAATGCTTTTTCCAGGAGCTCCGCGCCAACAAGGAGGTGGTCCTGGCTGCTGTGGAGCAGAACTGCGACGCCCTGGAATTTGCTTCCGAGGAGCTGCCGAAGGGGAGCACAGGTGTGAGCCAGAAGTCCAGAAGCAGCTTAGTCTCGACAGATCTCCACGCCATTGTCCATTGGAACCTCCTTTCCTCCCCAAAAAAAAGCGGCGTTAGCTTTTGCCTCAAACGAAGCCAGAATTGTTGGTCACAGCACTTGGATGAAAGTCGACCCAAGAGCAGTGGCAACCACGATGCAGGGCGCTGTGGCCGCCAGGCTTGCACCGGCATAAGAACTTGCGTTTACTTACGTTACAAGTTTCAAGGTTCAGGGATTGGGTGTTAATCGTGCAGGGGGTATAGGGTTGATAAGGGTTTAGTGGTTGGGGAGTTGGAAGGACAGCTGCCAATTAGGGCCCTGGAAGCAAAGTAAAGAGAAATACTGCTGCTGCGCCAGAAACATAGTGAGTCGCGATCATGGCGACTACGAGGACACGCAGGATCCACTCAATCAACAACAAGTACTCGAAAATCACACGGGATCTGCAACTGAAGGGCAACGCTTGATACTGGCGATGATGGGATCGCAGAGCGCCTGTCCAGGAGCTGCTGGCCGACAAGGAGGTCATTCTTGCTGCTGTGCAGCAGAATGGCGAGCTCCTTGAGTGTGCCTCCGAGGAACCGCACAGGGAACCCAGGTCAGGCTTCCGGAGGCCCATGAAATTGTGCGTTTCCACAATTTGAAACAAAGGGGGCCGAGCACAGATAGCTTTGTGCTGGCAGCCGGGCAATGCAAGCAACGACTTACCGCGACCGGAGGAGCAAGACTTTGAATGACAGAAAATAGTTAGAAGAAGGTCAATGTCAGTAGTTGTGCTGCGGAGGCTAGAGCAGTCAGCCCTAAATCACGACCCTTAAAGACCCCATCGGCCGAAGACCCTGATAAGTCCCTTAAGCCCCAAGCCCGGAAAAGAGCACCGACAGCCAGCGCCCCTTTAGTCAGCCAACAGGTTTTTGAATTTTGAGGGCTGCGGGGCTGAGGGTTGAAGTTTGGGATTTGGAATGATGGCCTTTCAAGATCATTGAGGCCAAGTCGAAACTCCTACGCCCATCGTAGGTTCCACAGAGAGAGAGAGAGCAACATTTGCAGGGCCAGGCTGCGAGTGTAGGGTGTTTTGGGGTAAGGGTGCGTGGAATCAGGAAAGGCTTAGGGTACCGAAAGGTCATGCAGCATTCAGCCCGTGAAATCAGAAGCACGTACTAGAAAAGCACTGGATACAACTAGGAATAATTTTCAACTGGAGGGAGTATTCACGGCCGGCGATGAGAATGCTTTTTCCAGGAGCTCCGCGCCAACAAGGAGGTGGTCCTGGCTGCTGTGGAGCAGAACTGCGACGCCCTGAAATTTGCTTCCGAGGAGCTGCCGCAGGGGAGCACAGGTGTGAGCCAGAAGCAGCTTCGTCTCGACAGATCTCCACGCCATTCTCCATTGGAACCTCCTTTCCTCACCAAAAAAAAGCGGCATTAGCTTTTGCCTCAAGACTCAAACGCAGCCAGAATTGTTGGTCACAGCACTTGGATGAAACTCGACCCAAGAGCAGTTGCAGCCACGATGCGGGGTGCCGTGGCAGCCAGGCTTGCACCTCCATAAGAACTTGCGTTTACGTTACAAGTTTCAAGGTTCAGGGATTGGGTGTTAATCGTGCAGGGGGTATAGGGTTGATGAGGGTTTAGTGGTTGGGAAGTTGGAAGGACAGCTGCCAAAATTAGGGCCCTGGAAGCAAAGTAAAGAGAAATACTGCTGCTGCACCAGAAACATAGTGAGTCGCGATCATGGCGACTACAAGGATCCACCAACAAGTACTCGAAAATCACACGGGATCTGCAACTGGAGCAAGGGCAACGCTTGATACTGGCGATGATGGGATCGCAGAGCGCCTGTCCAGGAGCTGCTGGCCGACAAGGAGGTCATCCTTGCTGCTGTGCAACAGTATGGCGAGCTCCTTAAGTGTGCCTCCGAGGAACCGCACAGGGAACCCAGGTCAGGCTTCCGGAGGCCCATTCCACAGTTTGAAACAAAGGGCTGGCAGCCGGGCAATGCAAGCAACGACTTACCGCGACCGGATGAGCAAAGACTTTGAATGACAGAAAATAGTTAAGAAGAAGGTCAATGTCAGTAGTTGTGCTGCGGAGGCTAGAGCAGTCAGCCCTAAATCACGACCCTTAAAGACCCCATCGGCCGAAGACCCTGATAAGTCCCTTAAGCCCCAAGCCCGGAAAAGAGCACCGACAGCCAGCGCCCCTTTAGTCAGCCAACAGGTTTTTGAATTTTGAGGGCTGCGGGGCTGAGGGTTGAAGTTTGGGATTTGGAATGATGGCCTTTCAAGATCATTGAGGCCAAGTCGAAACTCCTACGCCCATCGTAGGTTCCACAGAGAGAGAGAGAGAGAGCAACATTTGCAGGGCCAGGCTGCGAGTGTAGGGTGTTTTGGGGTAAGGGTGCGTGGAATCAGGAAAGGCTTAGGGTACCGAAAGGTCATGCAGCATTCAGCCCGTGAAATCAGAAGCACGTACTAGAAAAGCACTGGATACAACTAGGAATAATTTACAACTGGAGGGAGTATTCACGGCCGGCGATGAGAATGCTTTTTCCAGGAGCTCCGCGCCAACAAGGAGGTGGTCCTGGCTGCTGTGGAGCAGAACTGCGACGCCCTGGAATTTGCTTCCGAGGAGCTGCCACAGAACCACAGGTGTGAGCCAGAAGTCCAGAAGCAGCTTAGTCTCGACAGATCTCCACGCCATTGTCCATTGGAACCTCCTTTCCTCCCCAAAAAAAAGCGGCATTAGCTGTCGCCTTAGCATTCGACTTTACTCCGCCCAGAATGAATCCCTACCACAACATGCAGCTCCAAGACCCTGAAGTAACTGCCGTGTCAAGACGAGCAGTTGCAGCCACGATGCTGGGCACTTTGGAGGCCAGTGACAACTGCCAGCTGCCCAGTTGGGGCCCATGTCAAATCTGAAGCAGTTTCTCGACAGTTTTCCATGCCATTCTCCATTCAAACCTCCATTTTCCTTCAACGAGCCGTAACGAGCCCCTATACCCGAAACCTAGACCCCCTGAAGCTGAAATCCGACGCCCATCATAGGTTCCGCAGAGTAAAATGCTTGAGTAGGCCTTGCAGGGACCGGGCTGCTGTACCGGAAGCATTGTGGGTCGTGAGCCTTGCGACTGTGGTGATGCGCTACTTTTCCCGGCTAAGGGTGTATCACGGGCTTCAACTTGGAGCACGGGCAATGCTTGAGAAAGACTGCGATGACGCGACTGCTCGTCCAGGAGCTCCGGAAAGACACCGACCTGGTCCTGGTGGCCGTGCAAAAGGACGGTTTGGCCTTGGAGTATGCCGCCGAGGAGCGGCGCAGGGAGCCAGGTCGGACAAACTTGTAGGTGTAGCACAGGTGTGAGCCAGAAGTCCAGAAGCAGCTTAGTCTCGACAGATCTCCACGCCATTGTCCATTGGAACCTCCTTTCCTCCCCAAAAAAAAGCGGCGTTAGCTTTTGCCTCGTTGGTCACAGCACTTGGATGAAACTCGACCCAAGAGCAGTTGCAGCCACGATGCGGGGTGCCGTGGCAGCCAGGCTTGCACCTCCATAAGAACTTGCGTTTACGTTACAAGTTTCAAGGTTCAGGGATTGGGTGTTAATCGTGCAGGGGGTATAGGGTTGATAAGGGTTTAGTGGTTGGGAAGTTGGAAGGACAGCTGCCAAAATTAGGGCCCTGGAAGCAAAGTAAAGAGAAATACTGCTGCACCAGAAACATAGTGAGTCGCGATCATGGCGACTACAAGGACACGCAGGATCCACTCAATCAACAACAAGTACTCGGAAATCACACGGGATCTGCAACTGAAGGGCAACGCTTGACACTGGCGATGATGGGATCGCAGAGCGCCTGTCCAGGAGCTGCTGGCCGACAAGGAGGTCATCCTTGCTGCTGTGCAGCAGAATGGCGAGCTCCTTGAGTGTGCCTCCGAGGAACCGCACAGGGAACCCAGGTCAGGCTTCCGGAGGCCCATGAAATTGTGCGTTTCCACAGTTTGAAACAAAGGGCTGGCAGCCGGGCAATGCAAGCAACGACTTACCGCGACCGGAGGAGCAAGACTTTGAATGACAGAAAATAGTTAAGAAAAAGGTCAATGTCAGTAGTTGTGCTGCGGAGGCTAGAGCAGTCAGCCCTAAATCACGACCCTTAAAGACCCCATCGGCCGAAGACCCTGATAAGTCCCTTAAGCCCCAAGCCCGGAAAAGAGCACCGACAGCCAGCGCCCCTTTAGTCAGCCAACAGGTTTTTGAATTTTGAGGGCTGCGGGGCTGAGGGTTGAAGTTTGGGATTTGGAATGATGGCCTTTCAAGATCATTGAGGCCAAGTCGAAACTCCTACGCCCATCGTAGGTTCCACAGAGAGAGAGAGAGAGACAGACAGACAGACAGACAGACAGAGAGAGCGAGAGCAACATTTGCAGGGCCAGGCTGCGGGTGTAGGGTGTTTTGGGGTAAGGGTGCGCGGAATCAGGAAAGGCTTAGGGTACCGAAAGGTCATGCAGCATTCAGCCCGTGAAATCAAAAGCACGTACTAGAAAGGCACTGGATACAACCAGTAATAATTTACAACTGGAGGGAGTATTCACGGCCGGCGATGAGAATGCTTTTTCTAGGAGCTCCGCGCCAACAAGGAGGTGGTCCTGGCTGCTGTGGAGCAGAACTGCGACGCCCTGGAATTTGCTTCCGAGGAGCTGCCGCAGAGAACCACAGGTGTGAGCCAGAAGTCCAGAAGCAGCTTTGTCTCGACAGATCTCCACGCCATTGTCCATTGGAACCTCCTTTCCTCACCAAAAAATGCGGCATTAGCTTTTGCCTCAAGACTCAAACGAAGCCAGCATTGTTGGTCACAGCACTTGGATGAAACTCGACCCAAGAGCAGTTGCAGCCACGATGCGGGGTGCCGTGGCAGCCAGGCTTGCACCTCCATAAGAACTTGCGTTTACGTTACAAGTTTCAAGGTTCAGGGATTGGGTGTTAATCGTGCAGGGGGTATAGGGTTGATAAGGGTTTAGTGGTTGGGAAGTTGGAAGGACAGCTGCCAAAATTAGGGCCCTGGAAGCAAAGTAAAGAGAAATACTGCTGCTGCACCAGAAACATAGTGAGTCGCGATCATGGCGACTACAAGGACACGCAGGATCCACTCAATCAACAACAAGTACTCGGAAATCACACGGGATCTGCAACTGAAGGGCAACGCTTGACACTGGCGATGATGGGATCCCAGAGTGCCTGTCCAGGAGCTGCTGGCCGACAAGGAGGTCATCCTTGCTGCTGTGGAGCAGAATGGCGAGCTCCTTGATTTTGCCTCCGAGGAACCGTGCAGGGAAGGCCCACGAAAAACAGCAACACATTGCACGACTCCAGCCGAGCAAGAACAGTCATGGGATAGCTTTCCGGCTAGCGGCCGGGCAATGCAAGTTCGATGCTGAAGGCCGAATCTGAAATTCCACAGAACCCTAGGCTCCCGGAAGCCCAGATGCGAGATCCTACGCCCATTGGGGCTTCGTGTTGCGAGTCGCGGTCATTGCGGATGCCTTTTTTTCCCTTTCAGGGCTGAGGCCGTGGTATGGGTTTAGGGATGCTCAGCGTTTGGGGTGTGCAGAATAGTGAGTACTTGCACTGCAAGTGTTTAGGGTACCGACGGTCATGCAGGAGTCAGTCCATCAGAAGTAGGTACTAGCAACGCACTCGGGATTTTCAACTGGAGCATGAGCAAAATGGCTGCGATGACGCGCCTGCTCCTCCAGGAGCTCCGAAAAGACAGGGCTGTGGTCCTGGCGGCGCTGCAGCAGAGCGGTTTTGCCTTGATGTATGCCGCCGAGGAGCGGCGCAGGGAGCCGGGTCGGGCTGCCGGAGGCCCATGAGAAACAGACTCAGACACCCTCAGCATCCTCCTCGAAACTGTAATCCCCCCCCGAAGTCCGGATCTTCTTGTGAGAAAGACCCTAAACCCAAGAAGCTTATAGGGTTTAAGGGTTCAGGGATCCATAGGGGTGTTGTTTGCAAAAGGGATTTAGGGGTTTTGCGAGTTTGCACAAGCTGGTAGAATTATGAAACTGATGACGGTTTGACGGACAACAATAAGAAGAACAGAAACACCAATTGTGCTGAAGCACCTAGAGCCTGGGGCCCGCAAATGGGGGCCCTCCATCCCGGGAATGCTTGCACGTCATAAACCCCTTCATATATAGACCCCTAGACCCCAAAGGCCGACACCCCTTAGCCCCCAAAGCCCTAAGCCCGGAGCCCGTTGACAAAAAGAGCATCGACAGCCTACGGTGCTGGCCTCTCTGACCCATCAGGCTTGCTCCCTAAACTCTTTAGAGTTCAAAGGTTTCCGCTGTTGCTCTGTAGAGCTGAAAGCCAGAAGGTTGGTGCCAGTCCTTTGGGGAGGGCCGGCTCCACTCCTGTATGACTCCCCACAGAGTCTCGCCCTGAATCCCAGCTGCAACCTCAAGAGCAGTGACAGACCGAAGCGCTCACGCGGGGGTTAGGGTTTAAGGGGGCTCAGCGGCTCAGCATCTGGGGGCCAGGAAAGACAGCTGCCAAGTAGGGTTTTCGAAGACCAGGTTTTATCGCAAATGGCTCCTCCATGAAGGCCAAATCTGAGTCCCTACAGAGCCCTCGACTCCCTGAAGCCTAGATCCGAGATCCTACGCCCATCGTTTCCAAACGGTATAATGCTTGATAGGCCTTTCCAACACTAGGATGCCGTACCGGAAGCATATGATTCCTGATCATTGCAACTATGGTGATGCGCCGCTTTTTCCGGGGAAAGGGCGCAGGGGTGTTTACGGTTTAGGGTTGGCGGAATCAAGAAAGGGTTTAGGGTATGCAAAGAGGTCATGCAGCACTCAGTCCATGCAATCAGAAGTACGTACCAGCAAAGCAGTGGGAATTTACAGCTGGAGTAATGACTGGGGCGATGAGAATGCCTCTCCAGGAGCTCCGAGACACCAAGGAGCTGGTCCTGGCGGCTGTGAAGCAGAAGGGCTACGCCCTGAGATATGCTTCCGAGGAGCTGCCGCAGGGGACGGGGCCCGGGCTGCCGGAAGTCCGTGCGAAACTGCACGTCACTCCTTGGTAGCAAAGTAAGACGAAGAGAGGAGTCGTCAGGGTTCGCGAGAGCCGCGCTAAAGGCTGGGTAACGCGAACTCAGGACAGCAACAGTGGAGGAATTATGGCACTGAATACAAGTCGAACGACAACAAAAAGGTCACAAGAAGGTCCACACCCATTGTGCTGAACCGGAGGCCCATGAAATTGCGCGTTTCCACAGTTAGAAACAAAGAAGGCCGAGCACAGATAGCTTTGTGCTGGCAGCCGGGCAATGCAAGCAACGACTTCCCACGACCGGAGGAGCAAGACTTTGAATGACAGAAAATAGTTAAGAAGAAGGTCAATGTCAGTAGTTGTGCTGCGGAGGCTAGAGCAGTCAGCCCTAAATCACGACCCTTAAAGACCCCATCGGCCGAAGACCCTGATAAGTCCCTTAAGCCCCAAGCCCGGAAAAGAGCACCGACAGCCAGCGCCCCTTTAGTCAGCCAACAGGTTTTTGAATTTTGAGGGCTGCGGGGCTGAGGGTTGAAGTTTGGGATTAGGAATGATGGCCTTTCAAGATCATTGAGGCCAAGTCGAAACTTCTACGCCCATCGTAGGTTCCACAGAGAGAGAGAGAGAGAGAGAGAGAGCAACATTTGCAGGGCCAGGCTGCGAGTGTAGGGTGTTTTGGGGTAAGGGTGCGCGGAATCAGGAAAGGCTTAGGGTACCGAAAGGTCATGCAGCATTCAGCCCGTGAAATCAGAAGCACGTCCTGGAAAAGCACTGGATACAACTAGGAATAATTTTCAACTGGAGGGAGTATTCACGGCCGGCGATGAGAATGCTTTTTCCAGGAGCTCCGCGCCAACAAGGAGGTGGTCCTGGCTGCTGTGGAGCAGAACTGCGACGCCCTGGAATTTGCTTCGGAGGAGCTGCCACAGAGAACCACAGGTGTGAGCCAGAAGTCCAGAAGCAGCTTAGTCTCGAAAGATCTCCACGCCATTGTCCATTGGAACCACCTTTCCTCACCAAAAAATGCGGCATTAGCTTTTGCCTCAAGACTCAAACGAAGCCAGAATTGTTGGTCACAGCACTTGGACGAAACTCGACCCAAGAGCAGTGGCAACCACAATCTTGGGCGCTGTGGCCGCCAGGCTTGCACCGGCATAAGAACTTGCGTTTGCGTTGCAAGTTTCAAGGTTCAGGGATTGGGTGTTAATCGTGCAGGGGGTATAGGGTTGATGAGGGTTTAGTGGTTGGGGAGTTGGAAGGACTGCTGCCAAGTAGGGCCTTGGAAGCAAAGAAAAGGGAAATACTGCTGCTGCACCAGAAACATAGTGAGTCGCGATCATGGCGACTACAAGGACACGCAGGATCCACTCAATCAACAACAAGTACTCGAAAATCACACGGGATCTGCAACTGAAGGGCAACGCTTGATACTGGCGATGATGGGATCGCAGAGTGCCTGTCCAGGAGCTGCTGGCCGACAAGGAGGTCATCCTTGCTGCTGTGGAGCAGAATGGCGAGCTCCTTGATTTTGCCTCCGAGGAGCCGTGCAGGGAACCCAGGTCAGGCTTCCGGAGGCCCATTCCACAGTTTGAAACAAAGGGCTGGCAGCCGGGCAATGCAAGCAACGACTTACCGCGACCGGAGGAGCAAGACTTTGAATGACAGAAAATAGTTAAGAAGAAGGTCAATGTCAGTAGTTGTGCTGCGGAGGCTAGAGCAGTCAGCCCTAAATCACGACCCTTAAAGACCCCATCGGCCGAAGACCCTGATAAGTCCCTTAAGCCCCAAGCCCGGAAAAGAGCACCGACAGCCAGCGCCCCTGTAGTCAGCCAACAGGTTTTTGAATTTTGAGGGCTGCGGGGCTGAGGGTTGAAGTTTGGGATTAGGAATGATGGCCTTTCAAGATCATTGAGGCCAAGTCGAAACTTCTACGCCCATCGTAGGTTCCACAGAGAGAGAGAGAGAGAGAGAGAGAGAGAGAGAGAGAGAGAGAGAGAGAGAGAGCAACATTTGCAGGGCCAGGCTGCGGGTGTAGGGTGTTTTGGGGTAAGGGTGCGCGGAATCAGGAAAGGCTTAGGGTACCGAAAGGTCATGCAGCATTCAGCCCGTGAAATCAAAAGCACGTACTAGAAAGGCACTGGATACAACCAGTAATAATTTACAACTGGAGGGAGTATTCACGGCCGGCGATGAGAATGCTTTTTCTAGGAGCTCCGCGCCAACAAGGAGGTGGTCCTGGCTGCTGTGGAGCAGAACTGCGACGCCCTGAAATTTGCTTCCGAGGAGCTGCCGCAGGGGAGCACAGGTGTGAGCCAGAAGCAGCTTCGTCTCGACAGATCTCCACGCCATTCTCCATTGGAACCTCCTTTCCTCACCAAAAAATGCGGTCTTCGCTGTCGCCTTTGCATTCGACTTTACTCCGCCCAGAATGAATCCCAACATGCAGCTCCAAGACCCTGAAGTAACTGCCGTGTCAAGACGAGCAGTTGCAGCCACGATGCTGGGCACTTTGGAGGCCAGTGACAACTGCCAGCTGCCCAGTTGGGGCCCATGTCAAATCTGAAGCAGTTTCTCGACAGTTTTCCATGCCATTCTCCATTCAAACCTCCATTTTCCTTCAACGAGCCGTAACGAGCCCCTATACCCGAAACCTAGACCCCCTGAAGCTGAAATCCGACGCCCATCATAGGTTCCGCAGAGTAAAATGCTTGAGTAGGCCTTGCAGGGACCGGGCTGCTGTACCGGAAGCATTGTGGGTCGTGAGCCTTGCGACTGTGGTGATGCGCTACTTTTCCCGGCTAAGGGTGTATCACGGGCTTCAACTTGGAGCACGGGCAATGCTTGAGAAAGACTGCGATGACGCGACTGCTCGTCCAGGAACTCCGGAAAGACACCGACCTGGTCCTCGTGGCCGTGCAGCAGGACGGTTTGGCCTTGAAGTATGCCGCCGAGGAGCGGCGCAGGGAGCCAGGTCGGACAAACTTGTAGGTGTAGCACAGTGTATACGTAGCTTCATGCTCGGGGGCCAGAGGCTCCGAGTATTGTAGCAGTAGTGGAGGAATGATCAAACTGAGCACATCTGAGAAGTCTTCCAAGAGCCAACCTGTTCGGGAGTGACCGCTGCTAGCCAAGTAGGGCCTGTGAAGATCACACTTGACATGCGCATATCCGTTTAGCCTGGGCCACAGGTCTGAGCCAGAAGAAGCTTTGTTTCGACGAATCTCCACGCCATTTTTCATCGGAACCTCTTTTCCCATGCAATTCGCCCCTGCACGAAACCTAGACTCCCTGAAGCAGATGCTCGAGTAGGCCGCCACAGTAGGCCTTTTCCAAGACCAGGTTGCCGCACCAGAAGCATGATGGGTCGTGAGCCTTGCGAGGCTGTGGTGCTGAGCTATTGCCAGGTTAAGGGTGTATTACGGGCCAAGGGGTGTTTAGGGTGTAGGGTGCACAAGAATCCACAGGATACGAAGGAAGTACAACTGGAGTAATTACGGGGCGATGAGAACACTGTACCTTTCCAGGAGATCCGCGCCAACAAGGAGGTGGTCCTGGCTGCTGTGGAGCAGCACGGCAATGCCCTGAGATTTGCTTCCGAGGAGCTGCCGAAGGGGAGCACAGGTGTGAGCCAGAAGCAGCTTCGTCTCGGCAAATCTCCACGACATTCTCCATTGGAGCCTTCTTTCCCCCGCCTTAGCTGTTGCCTTAGCAGTCGAACGAAACCAGAAATGTTGGTCACAGCACTTGGATGAGGGTCGACGGTACTCCACCCTTAATGAATTCTTCTACGAAAACATGCAGGTCCAAGACTCTGAATTAACTGCCGTGTCAAGAAGAGCAGTTGCAGCCACGATGCCGGGCACTTTGGCCGCCAGGCTTGCGCCGGCTTAAGAACTTGCGTAGAAGCACAGGAGTTGCGATTCTTGCGACTATGTGACGCAAATAGCAGGGTGTAGGCCGCGATATTGGGTTTAGGGATGGGTTGTGGGGTTCAGGGTGTTTGGGGGTGACAGCTGCCAGCTGCGCCAGTTGGGGCCTGAAGATCAGACTGGACATGTGCATGTTCTGTTAGTCTGGGCCACAGGTCGGAGCCAGAAGTAGTCTCTCGACACTTCTCCACGCCATTTTTCAATAAAAAGGCTCAAAGCAGTTCAGGGTTCAGGTTTTTGGGGTTTACGGCCTTGCTCTGTAACAGAAAGTCAGTACCAGAAAAGCACTGGGGATTTACAACTGGAGTAATGGCTGTGGCGATGAGAATGTCTTTCCAGGAGCTGCAAAACGACAAGGAGGTGGTCCTGGCTGCTGTGAGCAACGGGGACGATGCGGCATACGATGTGCTTGACTCCGAGTCCGAGGAGCTGCCGCAGGGGACGGGGCCCGGGCTGCTGGGGGTCCATGAGAAAATGCACGCCACTCCTTCGGAGCAAAAGACAGAGAGAGGAGTTATCAGAGTTCGCGATAGCGTGCTGAAGGCCAGGTACCGCGAACTCATGACAGCAACAGTGGAGGGATTTTGACACTGAATACGAACTGACGGACAACAAAAGGGTCACAAGAAGGTCAAAGAAACACCCGTTGTGCTGAACCAGCTGAGAGCCTTTGGCCCCTACATGGGGCCCTACATCTCGGAAATGCTTGCACGCGATAAGCCCCTTCATATAGACCCCCTAAATTCCGCAGGTCGAAGCCCCTTGGATGTCAAACCCCTGAGTCCGGAACTTGACAAAAAAGAGCATCGACAGCCTACGGTGCTGGCCTCTCAGGCCCATCAGGCTTGCTCCCTAAACTCAAAAGTTTCGGGTTAGAAAAGGTTTGCGGGGTTTAAAGGTTCAGGGTTTTGGGGGGGGTGTTACGATCTTGCTCCCAGCAGGCTGGTACCAGTCCTTGGGGGCGGGGCGACTCCGCTCCTGTGTGAGTCCTTGCAGCTCCCACACCATAAATCCGAACTCCAACCTCAAGAAGAGCAGTTGCAGACCACCAGCCCCAAGGGTTGTAGGGATTAGGTGCAAATGGTTTTCAGATATCACGTTTAGGGTTCAAGGTCGAGTTCTAAGCGCGTACGCAGCGCTGTAGGGATTAAGGGTTGAGTGTCTGGGGGCCAGGCATGAGGACTGACTAGTCTCCCAAGTAGTGTGATGATCAGACTTGTCGCAGGCATTGTAAGTCTGGGCCCCGCACGTCTGAGCCAGAAGCTTGGTCGTGATGATCCTCCATCCCCACACAAGTAGCACTGAAGGCCAAATCTGAAATTCTTCAGAACCCTAGACTCCCTGCAACCCACGCCCCTTGAGTAGGCCTTTCCAGGATCAGGTTGCCAAGTGCCAGAAGCTTTCTGGGTTCCAACGTCGTGTGTAGCATCGTCACACGTGATTGGCCTTGTTGACAGTATCACTCCATCTTGACAAGCACAAACAGCGGGCTCTACCGATAAGGACATAGTACTATGACGAGTGCGCTCACGATCTGAGGGTGTCCCAACCTCTATGTTGGCGCTTTCGAGGAGCGATGTCTCGAGAGTCGAATGTACGATTCTGTGCTGGATGAGAGCGATGAGGCTTGCGACTGTGTTGATGCGCTACTTTTTTCCGGTTTAAGGGTGTGTCACCCGACTGGGTGTTTAGTTCCGGAAGGTCATGCAGCATTCAGTCCAGAAAATCAAAAGTACTGGAAAAGCACTATAGGGATTTACAAGCGATGAGAATGCCACACCTTGGCTATGCTTCCCAGGAGCTGCCGGGGGACGGGGCCCGGGTGTTGGAGGTCCAGGGAAGTTGGGAGCAAGAATACGAAGTTAGGAGTAATCAGAGTTCGCGATAGCTTCGTGCTGAAGGCCGGGTACCGCGAACTCATGACAGCAACAGTGGAGGAATTATGGCACTGATGACGGTTTGACTGACAACAATAAGAAGAACAGAAACACCAATTGTGCTGAAGCACCGAGCCTGGGGCACGCAAATGGGGGCCCTCCATCCCGGGAATGCTTGCACGTCATAAACCCCTTCATATACAGACCCCTAGACCCCAAAGGCCGACACCCCTTAGCCCCCAAAGCCCTAAGCCCGGAGCCCGTTGACAAAAAGAGCATCGACAGCCTGCGGTGCTGGCCTCTCTGACCCATCAGGCTTGCTCCCTAAACTCTTTAGAGTTCAAAGGTTTCCGCTGTTGCTCTGTAGAGCTGAAAGCCAGAAGGTTGGTACCAGTTGTTGGGGGAGGGTCGTCTCCACTCCTGTATGAGTCCCCGCAGAGTCTCGCCCTGAATCCCAACTGCAACCTCAAGAGCAGTGACAGACCGAAGCGCTTACGTGGGGGTTAGGTTTAAGGGCTGAGTGCTGCCAAGTTGTTTGAAGATCAGGTTTATCACGTGCAACTAGCTCCTCCATGAAGGCCACATCTGAACTCCTACAGAACCCTCGACTCCCTGAAAATTAGATCCGAGATCTCACAACCATCGTTTCCAAAGGGTAATAATGCTTTGATAGGCCTTTCCAACACCACACCAAACGTTTTATATTATACGGCATTCGGGCAGCTGCCGGACTACCCCTTTGAAATTTGGTTGCCTGGCCTCGGTACAAAAGCACTTTTAGCTTTGGGGCTGGCCTGGAGACTTAAGATTTCAAGGGCCCGACAACCTCAGAGGCCTCAAGGCTTAGGAAGCCTCAGCCCTGAGGACTCTGGATCCAAACCCAACTAGCTCGCAAAAAAAAGAAAAAAATCCAGGGGACCAAACGTTTTACATTATACGGCATTCGGGCAGCTGCCGGACTACCCCCTTTGAAATTTGGTTGCCTGGCCTCGGTACAAAAGCACTTTATAAGGAAATCTTAGCTTTGGGGCTGGCCTGAGACTTAAGATTTCAAGGGCCCGACAAGCTCAGGCCTCAAGGTTTCAGGCTTTGAGTCTTTGCTCAGGCTCAGATCTTTGGTCTCTCAGGCTCAGTTCAGAAGCGATTTCTAGACAACAACGCCATTCAACAGCCTCGCCGAAGTTTTGCATCGCCCGAGTTTTTTTCACAATTCCGGGGGACCTCCTCAAATAGACCCCCCTGAATAATCTTTGATTTTTTTCACAATTCCGGGGGGGGGGGGGGGGGGGGCACACTAACCAGGATACAACATTATGGGTCGCGATCATTGCAACTATGGTGATGCACCACATTTTCCGGGTTAAGGGTGTATTGCGGGCGCTGGGGTGTTTACGGTTTAGGGCGCGCGAATCAAGAAAAGGTTTAGGGTACCGAAAGAGCTCATGCAGCACTCAGTCCATGAAATCAGAAGTAAGTACCAGAAAAGCACTAGGAACTTACAACTTGAGTAATGACGGTGGCGATGAGAATGCGTTTCCAGGAGCTCCGAAACAACAAGGAGGTGGTCCTGGCAGCTGTGAAGCAGAACTGCAGGGCCCTGGAATATGCTTCCCAGGAGCTGCTGCAGGGGACGGTGGAGGGGCTGCCGCGGGTTCATGAGAAAATGCACGCCACTCCTTCGGAGCAAAATATGACGAAGAGAGGAGTCATCAGAGTTCGCGACTGTTTCGTGCTGAGGGCCCATGTAACGCGAACTCGTGACAGCAACAGCGGAGGAATTCTCACACTGAATACGAGATGCATGATAACAATAAGGTGACAAGAAGGTCAGAAACACCAGTTGTGCTGGCCCAGCTAGGAACCGACAAAAAGAGCATCGACAGCCACGGTGCCGGCCTTTCTGGCCTTAAACGGGTTAAAAGGTTCAGTTTTGGGGGTTTACGGTCTTGCTCTGTAACAGAAAATCGGACGATTGGTACAAGTTCTTGGGAGAGGATCGACTTGTGAGTCCTTACTGGCAGCTCCCACGCCCTGAATCCGAATTCGAACCTCAAGAAGAGCAGTTGCCGACCGCCAGCCCTCACAGGTTATAGGGACTATAGGTGCAGAAGGTTTTCAGAATTTGCGTCTAAGCCAGAAGCTTGGCCGTGTGATTCTCCACGTATTTTGCCATTCGATCCTCCATTCCCCCACAAACAGCTCCTCCCTGAAGGCCAAATCTGAAATTCTACAGAACCCTAGACTCCCGCATTGGGGCTTAGTGTTGTGAGTGGCGGTCATTGCGGATGCCTTGTACTATTTCAGGGTTGAGGTTGAGGCCGTGATATGGGTTTAGGGATGCTGAGCGTTTAGGGTGCGCAGAATAAAGAGTACGTGCGCTGCAAGTGTTGAAGGTACCGACGTTCATGCAGGAGTCAGTCCATCAGAAGTAGGTACCAGATACGCACTGATCTACAACTGGAGTCGGGATCTTCTTGTGAGAAAGACCGGTTTAAGGGTTCAGGGATCTAGGGGTGTGTTTTGCAGAAGTGATGTAGGATTTTGCGAGTTTGTACAAGCCATTAGGCTGGCAACACTTGGACGGTCGACGCTGCCCTGAATCCTTTCTAGGACATGCAGCTCCAAGACCCTTTATCCTACAGCGGATCCACCGTAGCTCTCAAGAAAAGCAGCTCCTCGGCCGGCACCCCAAAGCGACTAGGCATGCGGGTTTACAAGCTCCAGGGTGCAGGGGTATTTAGGGTTTGCAAAGGGCAATGCTTGAATAGGCCTTTCCAACACCAGGCTGCCATA